TATAAAAGAAAATAAGACATAGTACATATCACAAAATGGGACAAACATTAAGGGTGTAAAATGCAACAGACCCGAAATATTTGTATCTTATATTTGACCTATTAAAACCACATCTGTATTTGTTTCCCAAGTCAAAGAGTGCAATCATATGCTTCAAATACGAATATTATATTATATTACTTCGTTTCATATTAGATGAGGTATTTTCCTTTTTAGTATGTTCCAAAACAAATGACACATTTTTAAATTTGGAAATAATTCAACTTTAAACTCTTTCATTTTACTCATTTACCCTTAATGAGAAGCTTTTATAGCCACAGAAATGTCATGACCCCACAAACTTTTTACCCCATAAGCTTACAAGTTTCAAAAGTCTTCTTCTTTTTTTCTTAAATTTTGTATCGAGTCAAACTACCTCAACTAATATGAAACGAATGGAGTATGTTATATTATATATGAAACGTACTTGAGAAATCCAGTGGAGACTGTAAGAGGAGTGGACAAAGTGCAGACTCTGAGAAGGAAAAAGTCTAGTATAAAATGAACCAGCAACTCCGGTAACAAAGCAATTAGGATCAAATCCATCTCCCATCTGTTTCCTCAAATCTTCGTAGAACGCCGGCAACGACCGGAAAATGGTATTGAAATCATTTCCGGGAAGATCATTCAAGAAAACATGAAATTCCGGCGACTGTTTTTGGCCATTGCTTTTGCATTCTTCATAAATAGTTTTAATGAGTCCGGAAATTACGAGAAAAGTGTTTGGTCCAGAGGAGCAACCTAAGTCCGCAATACAAATTGTTTCTGGGGAAAGGCTGCGGTAGAGTGCAGCTATGGCTTCATCTCTTATTGACTTTGTCATTAGGATCACCTTTTGCTCTATAAAAATGCAATGTACATCAGAAGGTTACAATTTGTTTGTCGTAGTTAGACTTGGCATGAAATTTAATAGAGAGAGTAACACTTTTGAACTTGTGATCATAAATATATCATAATATTTATGGCGCTATAAAACTTTTGAAACTTGTCGTTTAAACTAGTAGTAGTATTTGTGTGGCTTTGAAATGAAGTAAAGTAATTATAATTGAGACTTTATAACCTCTATAAAAGGGCAACCCAGTGCACTAAGCTCCCGCTATGCGCGGGTTCCATGGAATGGCCGGACCACAAGGATCTAATGTACGCAGCCTTACCCAACATTTCTGCAAGAGACTGTTTTTACAGCTCGAACCCGTGACCTCCTGATTATATAGCAGCAACTTTACCAGTTAAGCTAACGCTTCTCTATGCGGAAATAAAAAATTGTGTGATTATATTATACCTGAAGCAAAGAATTTTTGGCATAGCTAGCCTCTCCAATTCCTTCATTCATATGAAGAACTTTGGCAACTTCCATTTCTTGGATCTTCCTGTATTATACGAATATAGTATTTTTTGGCTAGGCAAATTAAAGTTCCAATGGGGGTATCACTTATTTATAGATGAGTAATACCAAAATTATCCATGAAATTCCAACAGTGTCCCTCACAAGCCAATTATGCTAGCGTTTGGACTTTGGATATAGAATTAGTTAAAAAAAAAAAGAAGAGTTTTTAAAGATAAGATGAAAAATTATTTTGAAAAATGAGTTTGGACATGCATTTTACTTGAAAAGAATTTAAAGTTTTATGAGTAAAAAATTTCAATAACTTCAAAAGTACTCAGAGAGTTATTTTTTTGGGATTTGAAGACTTTATTTTCAAAATTTGGCAAAAAATAGTTAAAATCTATGAAACAAATCAGATACTATTTAAAAACATATTCGAAAAAATGCTTCCAAATTTTATGGCCAAAACGGGAGCTAAGGTCGTTTGGTTACCGGGATTAAGATACTAACCTCAGTATAAAATTTAAAATTATAATTATTTCGTATTTAGCTATTCCCGAAAGATGCATTTTATAATTGAGGAGTTTAAAAAGTCCGACCGAATTCGATCAATTATTTTAAATCTTATATTTTTTTCAGTCAATAAATTGACCGCATAGATTGATTTTAATACTAACCAAAAATAAAATAAAAAATCAACACATCATTTTCGATGAGTTTTTGGTCGATAATCAAGAGCCATTTTAATAATAAAGTTTTTACTGCCTTTATAAAATAAATTAAAAAAAAGAATCAAGAACCAAATTAAAAATAAAGTAAATTGAGATTCTTTTTTGTTTCTCTTTGAAATTTCAAGTATTACATCAAGTATTATAAGCAATAAAAAGTTTTTTTTTTTTGATAAAGTAGGCGGTTTTCAAATTGATTACCTATATTATCAATTGGAAAAAATTATTACAAAAAATTTAATAACTTTGAAGCTAGAAAAATAGACTTAATTAAATAAATACATATTTAAAAAAATTAAAATCGTTTGTCAAAGTTCGGATTTAGGCAACAAATATCGTTAAGCCGACCCTATAAATTAGTTTTGGACCATAGACTTGATCACAAAGATTACAAAGCTTTAGCATAAATATATCCCCACTTCCCAACCCCCTTGCCCCCCCTCCCC